ATATTGGGCATTAAGATCTATAGAGATAGATCAAGATGCTTAATAGGACTTTCACAAAGCACATACCTTGACAAAATTTTGAAGAAGTTCAAAATGGATCAAGCAAAGAAAGGATTCTTGCCTGTGTTACAAGGTGTGAAATTGAGTAAGACTCAATGCCCAACCAATGTCGAAGATAGAGAGAAAATGAAAGATGTTCCCTATGCTTCAGCTATAGGCTCTATCATGTATGCAATGCTGTGTACCAGACCTGATGTGTGTCTTGCTATAAGTCTAGCAAGGAGGTACCAAACTAATCCAGGAGTGGATCACTGGACAGCGGTCAAGAACATCCTGAAATACCTGAAAAGGACTAAGGATATGTTTCTCATATATGGAGGTGACAAAGAGCTCATCGTAAATGGTTACATTAATGCAAGCTTTGACACTGATCCGGACGATTCTAAATCGCAAACTGGATACGTCTTTACATTAAACGGTGGAGCTGTCAGTTGGTGCAGTTCTAAACAGAGCGTTGTGGCGGGATCTACATGTGAAGCAGAGTACATAGCTGCTTCGGAAGCAGCAAACGAAGGAGTCTGGAGGAAGGAGTTCATATCCGATCTAGGTGTCATACCTAGTGCATCGGGTCCAATGAAAATCTTTTGTGACAATACTGGTGCAATTGCCTTGGCAAAGGAATCCAGATTTCACAAGAGAACCAAGCACATCAAGAGACGCTTCAATTCCATCCGGGATATAGTCCAGGTGGGAGACATAGAGATTTGCAAGATACATACGGATCTGAATGTTGCAGACCCGTTGACTAAGCCTCTTCCACGAGCAAAACATGATCAGCACCAAAGCTCCATGGGTGTTAGAATCATTTCTGTGTAATCTAGATTATTGACTCTAGTGCAAGTGGGAGACTGAAGGAAATATGCCCTAGAGGCAATAATAATGTTATTATTTTATTTCCTTATATCATGATAAATGTTTATTATTCATGCTAGAATTGTATTATCCGGAAACATAATACTTGTGTGAATACATAGACAAACTAAACGTCACTAGTATGCCTCTACTTGACTAGCTCGTTAATCAAAGATGGTTATGTTTCCTAACCATAGACATGTGTTGTCATTTGATTAATGGGATCACATTATTAGGAGAATGATGTGATTGACATGACCCATTCCATTAGCTTAGCACCCGATCGTTTAGTATGTTGCTATTGCTTTCTTCATGACTTATACATGTTCCTATAACTATGAGATTATGCAACTCCCGTTTGCCGGAGGAACACTTTGTGTGCTACCAAATGTCACAACGTAACTGGGTGATTATAAAGGAGCTCTACAGGTGTCTCCAAAATTAAATGTTGGGTTGGCGTATTTCGAGATTAGGATTTGTCACTCCGATTGTCGGAGAGGTATCTCTGGGCCCTCTCGGTAATGCACATCACATAAGCCTTGCAAGCATTGCAACTAATGAGTTAGTTGCGAGATGATGTATTACGAAACGAGTAAAGAGACTTGCCGGTAACGAGATTGAACTAGGTATAGAGATACCGACGATCGAATCCCGGGCAAGTAACATACCGATGACAAAGGGAACAACGTATGTTGTTATGCGGTCTGACCGATAAAGATCTTCGTAGAATATGTGGGAGCCAATATGAGCATCCAGGTTCCGCTATTGGTTATTGACCGGAGACATGTCTTGGTCATGTCTACATTGTTCTCGAACCCGTAGGGTCCGCACGCTTAAGGTTTCGATGACAGTTATATTATGAGTTTATGAGTTTTGATGTACCGAAGTTAGTTCGGAGTCCCGGATGTGATCACGGACATGACGAGGAGTCTCAAAATGGTCGAGACATAAAGATTGATATATTGGACGGCTATATTCAGACACCGGAAGTGTTCCGGATGATTTCGGAGAAAACCGGAGTGCCGGAGGGTTACCGGAACCCCCCCCCCCGGGAGAAGTAATGGGCCTTATGGGCCCTAGTGGAGAGAGAGAGGGGCGGCCAGGGTGGGCCGCGTGCCCCCTCCCCCTCTGGTCCGAATTGGACTAGGAGAGGGGGGGCGGCGCCCCCCTTTCCTTCTCCCTCTCCCCCTCCCTTTCCCCCTCCTAGTAGGAGTAGGAAAGAGGGGAGTCCTACTCCTACTAGGAGGAGGACTCCTCCTCCTTGGAGCGCCCTAGGGCTGGCCGGCCTCCTCCCCTTGCTCCTTTATATACGGGGGTAGGGGCACCCCTAGACACACAAGTTGATCCACATGATCGTTTTCTTAGCCGTGTGCGGTGCCCCCTTCCACCATACTCCTCGATAATATTGTAGCGGTGCTTAGGCGAAGCCCTACGACGGTAGAACATCAAGATCGTCACCACGCCGTCGTGCTGACGGAACTCTTCCCCGACTCTTTGTTGGATCGGAGTCCGGGGATCGTCATTGAGCTGAACGTGTGCCAAAACTCGGAGGTGCCGTAGTTTCGGTGCTTGATCGGTCGGGCCGTGAAGACATACGACTACATCAACTGCGTTGTCATAACGCTCCCGCTGTCGGTCTACGAGGATACGTAGATCACACTCTCCCCTCTCATTGCTATGCAGCACCATGATCTTGCGTGTGCGTAGGAATTTTTTTGAAATTACTACGTTCTCCAACAGTAAAAAACATGAAAAAAAACAACAACTTGCACTTGGCACTATGTCAATAGGTTAGTACCAAAAAAATGATATAAAATAATTATAAAACATCTAAGATTGATAATAAAACATCATGGAACAATAAAAAAATATAGATACGTTGGAGACGCATCAACGTCCTCATCCAATCTCCATTTTTTTGTGATACTTGTTTCCATAGAAGTCATGGGAGATAAGGAAAGTCTATGGGGCGTCTCATTCACGTTTGGGAGCCCTTGAATGTGAGGTGGATCAATATCAATGGAGAATGAGGAAGCAATGTGGATTTATAATCCCTACAAACCCTAATCGCCACACATACATCACCCAGTCCAAGGTCATGAATTCCATATCTCCATTCCTCCCACCAAGCCGCCAAGAAGCCATCTAGAATTAAGGATTAGGTTTCATGTGAATCCAGTTTAAATTTGTTGTTATTCAATTAATTGCAAGAATCCAAATCATCAAACATACCACTATGACATTATTCAATACCTTTTAGTTATTCCTATCTATTTTGACGCATCAATTCCTTCTTCTACTCGTTGGGGTTGCTACTCTTACTTATTGAAAAGGGTGACGACCACCCCCTACAATTGTGGCTATCAAGTATCTCAAGGATCGTGTTTATGCTTTGTAATTGATGATCCCGTACTACAAGGCTAGGTGATGCAAATTATTCTGGTGATAGTGATTTTAGGAAGTTCGCCGTTGGATAGCTGATAGCGATAGGGATTTTAGTTAGTCAACTGCTAGATAGCTGGTGACCTATGAAGTGGGAGTTGTGTCATGGCAATCAAAATTGCATAAATGTGTTTCAAAATAACAAAAAATGATTACATAGATGTAGTTATGCTTAAAATGAAATGTTGTGGATGAAGAACTTCACGCAAGATCTCGGCATGAGGCAAGAGAAGTATAATCTCTATTTTGTGGACGTCGAAGTGTTATTCATCTTGCCAGTAATTAAAATTTTCACTCTTGGACCAAGCACATTGATGTGAGGTATCATTCGATTCGGGATGTTGTGAAGCCCAGCCCACGCCCATTAAGGTCATCACCTATGAAAATTCTGTACTTTGGATAGCTTTGGGTATCTTGTGAGGGTCATGTCCTTGGCCATAGTGCGTTCAACAACCTTATATTATGTTCCAACCTCTTGGGGCGGGCAAATCATGTGGCTTCTTAAAATCCATAACGATTGCATGCTTGGTTATCTGTAGTTTTGGTCACCACATACATGGATGAACAATACGAAGGGCTGATCTAGTAACGTTGACTCTGAAGATAATTGATGGAACTCTTTTGGTTTTATCGAGGATATTCGTTGTCAATGTTCATTTCAATTATTACTATCTAGTGTACTTTCATCAATGAATTAATAAAGCAAGATCGACGCTCTAGAAAAAAAAATGCATGCACTTCTAGCTCAGATCGACCGGTTTTGTTGGCCAACCGAGAAATTGCAATGCTAAGCTGCCAAGAAGCTAATCCGTTTTCTTTACTGAAGTTGCATATTTAAGTTTTCAAAGAAAATGTGCAACTAGAACCGACTTTTTTTTTCTTTTGAAGCTACGGTCAATAAATAGCAGGAGCTAACAACATTAGTGCTGACATATTTGGGCCTGGAACAGTACACTGGTATCAATCTTGCCCATGCTACCTGACGGCATGGGCCTGGAGTGGTGCCAAAGGTTCTGCTTACATGACCCTCAACTTTAGCGCTGCAACATACCTGTACCCGCAGGCTTGCAGAAGAATGGAAGCTGAAAGATTCGGTGAAGTTGTGGGGTCAATCCTTGGATGCATACAAAAGTATGCTATCTAGTATCTAGTCCATGAACGCAAAGCACACGAATGCACATGCTGGCTTTGAATTGCGACTCTACAGTCTCAGATGTAGATGCATGTGTGATGTGTCTTTTGAATTCCCGGCAAAAGCATGTTAGGTTGCAGAGAAGCATGTCTCCTGATAACTCTCATCTCCTTGCTGAAGATTAATTGGATAAAAAATGCAAGGATTGCATGCTATCCCTGCCTGTGATAGCCATGTTTGCTCATAGAGGTTATAACACATAAAAAAGCTCTGTTAATTAGCCCAATCATGCACGCAGGCAGGATGCCAGACATGAGGAAAGCTCGGAGCAAGCAAGATCACACAGCCTCTTTTTATTTGACGAAATTAAACACAACTAGCAAGTTAACTACATACATCACATTCATCATTCCCCTTGGGCACTTCTCTCTCTGAGACGAGAAACAATCTCTCGGACTAGCTAGCAAACTGCTTACGATTGATCTCTTCATCAGTGGCTCACGCAGCTCATGCATCACTCCATGAAGTTGTAGGAGGAATTCCTCTCCGGGATCCAGCCGCCGTTGTGGCCACTGCTGCTGCCTACAACTCCCCTCTGCTCCTGCATGAATGCATTACGGATCAATGGATAATAATTTCTCTCATCAGCCAGTCATGCATTATCAGTAGTAATGCCGTTCAACTGTCCGGGTACGGTGGTTTACAGTTGACATAAACACATGGATGAATCAATTAGCATAAAACATGTAATATATTCAGGGAGCACATATATACATACCGGGGTGTAGAGCTGCAGTTTAGGCGGCCTGAGGAAGTTGATCTGAGGCTGGTCGGAGGGGTGGAGGTGGTTCTGCATCTGGCTGAGGAAATCCGACTCCCGCTGCGGCGGGTTGGCGTGCGTGATCTGGAACGGCCGCGGCGGCTCCGAGGGAGGCATCTGCATCAGCTGGGCAGCGGGATCCGTGGTGATGTAGTGCATGTACTGCTGCAGCTCCGGAGGCACCACGGGGGCCATCCCCTTCCCCATCACCAGCATCTGTACACATGTTCATGCATGACATGACCAACCAGCATAATGCGTAATTTATACTAGTTGATCTTCATTGCGTCTTGACTCTTGATATTAAAATTAAATTAGCGCATGCATGCATGCAATTCGATCATGAAGATCTGGATATTTTTGGAGAAGATATGAATTAATTTTGACAGGCTAGCCATGCACATGACATGATGCATAAGAATAGATAGCATATAAAAGAACATGTCTACAACTCTACAAGCATGCACACAGTGAACCTGATCATATATATGATATGATGTGATTCCAGATTTTTTAAATACCTGGAGTTGCAGCTGGAGCGATTTCAGGTAGTCAATTGCTTCATCTAGCATCGACACCTTGTCCGTCTAATTAAATCAGTAGAGAGACCACAGATCAGGCGAAGAACTCGGCAAGAAATATACACTGGCTAGCTAGAAGATCCAAGATGGGGCATGCATGTTCATTACGTGGACCTTGGTGCAGTTTGGAAGTAGCTCTTGCAGCGCCTTCAGCTTCTCGTTGATCTTATCACGTCTCCTCTATAAAAAAACCACACAGAAAGCTCAGGAACACGAAATGCTAATTAATGGCTGCGGTTGTGATGTGATCCATCGATATGCAACCTACCCTTTCTGAAAAATTGTGAAAATCGGCAGATCTGCTTCTGCGGGTAGGGATAGACATCCTCCTTAGAGCCCTGCCGTCTTCCATCAGAGATCTTGATGAGCTTCTTCACCTTCCTGCCACTAGGTATAAAGAAACAATCGAACAAGATCAACGCCAGAGTACAAATGAAGAGTAGCTAAGAACAAAAGCTTTCAGCTAGCCATGCATACCTTCTTCTTCCTCTTTGGTGTCTGAGGTCTCCTTGCTGAGCTTCCTTTGGCCTTCACACCTCCTTATGAACCGATGCTAGCTATAGCTATCTAGCAGTGCCAAACTGGTCCAGCCCTAGGCAGGCTAGAGAGGATGGAGATTCAGAGACCCTTTCATGGTCAGGCGACCTGGTTGATGGTCTCTTCGACCCTGCACCAACCTTTTGTCCAGGCCGGCATGGTATTTATGGCCTTATGGCATCTGATTTTATAAGCTTTTGCGTCATGGCAACGACTGATCGAGTGGCTAGTGGCGAGTGAGCACTGTGCGTGTCGACATCTCCTCATCTTTTTCCACCGGCCGTGTGGAATTTCTGGTCACTTGGTCCGTCAGCATGGAGTAATCGTCAGCTGCATCGGGGTCTCTGATGGGATGTTTGCAATTTTTGTAGGGCGCCCATGTGGTCAATCATTTCATCTACGGCCTTGCTAGGGCATGGCTCAAACTTGGCTTGCAATACAAGGGTTCGTCAGCATGAATTCTTTAGAGCAATCGCCAGCTTGTGCAAAATACCCGGAGAGATATGGGTGTCATTTCTTCACTAGCTAGGTGTTAGGGCATCTCCAGCCGTTAGCCCCCAAGACGGGCAAAAAATCGCCTCCTGGGGGCGCACCGGCGTTAAACCGCGCACTGGGGGCGTGATGCCCCCCAGTCGCGGCCCCCCACGGGTTTTTAAAATGTTCAAATTCGGCGCAAACACAATGCAAACACGTTCGAGTTCGTTCAAATTTAAACATATTTTTTTTTAAAAGGAAAAACTACCGCGGGCTACCCTCGCCGCCCGCCTCGCCGCCCGCCCACGCGGTTTTACATGCCGAGGAGGCTGTAGAACCGCGTGTAGTCACCGCCGCCGTCGTCGTCGTCGCCTCCGCCGATGCCTCCGCCGTCCCTGCTGCAGCCCTCCCCCGGTTGGCGCGGCGGGTTGGACGGTCCGGGGGCGTCGTCGCTGTCGAGGACCACGACGCCGTGCTCGTCCTCGCGCCCACGCTTGCGGGCGGCGATCTCCTACAGGGCCCGGCGCTGCCGGACCATCTCGTCGCGGAGGTAGTCGTCCCGCGCCCACCGCAGAGCGTCCTCGTCGGAGAAGCCACGCCGGGCTATCTCCTCGTACTCCGCGAGGAGGCCAGGCTCCGGTTTGGGCTCGACGAGGACGAAGCGGCCGGTGGGGGAGGCGTTGTCGCCGATGCGGACGCCGGAGCTGCGGGTGCGCACGCTGACAGGCGTGCCCTGGGGCTCCAGCTTGACGGGGCGGAGGTGGAGGCAGGGGGAGCCGGCGGACGAGGAGGAGGACCCCCCGGTCTCCATGCGCCTCGGGGTCCAGGAGCTTCCCCGGCGGCGTGAGAAGGATGGGGGAGTGGGGTACTCAAGGCGCGGCGTGTTGCCGCCCTCGATGTACTCGAGGACGGCCTCCAACGTGTGCCCGGGCACGCCCCACCACCGACGCCGGCCGGCGGCGTTGAGCCTGTCGGAGGGCACGACGCCGTTGGTGGCCTCGAGCTGCTCGGCGTGACGGCGGCGGAAATAAGGCTCCTAGAGCGGGCTGTCGGGGACGTACCGTGGCTCCTCCCTCGCCACACGCGGCAGGGACGAGCGGATGCGTGCGATCTCTGCACGCCGCACCGCGCCGGTGGGTACCGGGGGCACCGGCACGCCGCTGGGGCTGATCCTCCACGCCCCGGGCACCCGCATGTCCGGCGAGACCGGGTACTCGGCCTCGAAAAGGAGGCGAGCCTCGTCCTCGTGAAGATGGCGGCGGCCGAAGCCGTTCGCCGCCGCGCCGTCGCCTGGGAAGCGCTCGGCCATGGGTGTGATGAACTGGAGACGACGAGAGAGAGGAGAGGGAGGAACGACGACGGCGAGAGAGTGCGAGTCGCCGAGTGCGCTGGGGCGCGTCTTATATAGGCCGAGGCGCCGCCCGTGCGCGAGCCGCCGTGTGTACGCGTGGCGGGCGAGGGAGGGCGAGGGACGCGCGTCATCCGGTCTTCACTGCGCCGCCCGTGAGGCATCAATGGCGCAGGCTGACCAGCGCGACAACGCGGCAGCTTTGGCATTGATTCGCCGCGGGAAACGAGGCGCCGAGGACGACGAAGGGGCGAGAAGATAGCCGTGTCCCTGACGCGGCGGGCCCGCGGCTGTTTCGCGCTAATAATTCGCCCCGGCGCCCCTGGGCGCCCCCCAGCGTGCCAGGTTCGGCCTGGGTCCGCCGACGCTGTTTTCGGCTCAGGCCGGCGAAAATCGGGCCCCTGGGGGCGTGACTGGGCCGATTTTTCGGCGCCGGCGCAAAAAAAACGCTTGGGAGGCCTTCTTGAGGGCGCGGCTGGAGATGCCCTTAGGCAGTAGCAATGTCGTACGGATTTATGTGTAGCATGCATGGTTCGCCAAAAAAGAAGTATATATGCAGCATGTAGAAGGGGTTTTAGGAGTATGAGATATGGAATGAAATTATTACACGTAACGGATCGATGCCTTGTGAAACTAGGAAATGTGATTGAACGATGGCTAATACTACAAGATGGGTTCAAGTGAACCAAAAGTACACGAACTAAAAAAGAAGAGAAGATGAATAAGAAAACACGAAAACCATGTAGAGTCGGAAATGCAACATCAAGCGCACACATTGCGAAACACTACCGAGACTGCAAAACACGACATCCACCACAGACAATCTCTAGCAATGCCGGAGGAGCACCTCCAAAGCATCACACTACCGAGACAACACATACTATAACAAACGCCACCCACTTGCTCAACAGTCAAGAGGAATAATTGTAAGCATTAGCACACCATCAACTGTCCCCAACGCCGATGGTCTTCCCTTTGCCAAGACAACGGACATAGACTAACCATATGTTGGCTAATGGTGCCGTTACCGTGAGTCGCACCGCCAACACCCTCGAAGGGCATTGGGAAACGGAGACAAGACTGAGAAAATGAACCCTAGCAGCAACTCAACGATGATTCAAGGGCCGGAAGTGATAGTATCTTCCACTATATCTACTATCTAGCAACATTGTGGTTGCAACAGAAAGTCTGAAGAAGAAACAACTAACCAACACATGGTGCGAGCATTTGTAAAGAATCTGAATCTGTTACATGTAGTTCACATGGATAATCAATTAAGTGTGGCAAATGATAGTTGCAGCAATGAACCAAACATATAAATAAAAACTATCACATAGCTAAGATTTGCTGACTAATACACAAAACCGGAGGTGGGCCTAACTTGGCTATCTGAGACAGGTTTCCCACCGTCGTGTTTAGAGATCATGGATTGGTACCCTTTTTCATGGCAGGCCGCCTCAGATTAACAACCTTTCCGTGGTCGGTTTGCTTAGCCAACCCATCTCAGGTAGGGTCAATGGTGAGCGATAGCGGTTTACTATGTCATGGTTTGTGGTGTAAGCGCTATGATAATGATGATTGTCATGGTGGTGACAAAAGTGTCAAATTTGGTTACGCTATGATCACTTATACATCATGTTTCTATATCTGAAGCCCTTGATCATGGATCTATTAAAATGGTTGAGAAGGCCGGTTCCTTATGGACAAGGAGACTCCCGGCGCCTAAGACACCTTTAACCGTCCATCCATTCCTATTTTTTTTCTCCTTCCTATATCGAGTACCGAATCACTCGAACATTGCCAACTCTTCTTCTCAGCATAAACCGGGGAGGGAAGAACTAGTATCTCTTCTCCTTTCCATCACGAGAATCTACACGACACAAGAATAAGAATTGATCAGGACAACGCAACAAGTGGATACATTGCCACCACATATCGTAAGTACGTTATGATTGAGAACTTGTGCAATATCCATGATGATTCATAAGTTGATCTGCTTTGCTGCTAGCTCTGATATTTGCATCATTAGTTTACTAATAAAATGCACTATTTTGAACCTAAAAATGTGTACTTCTTACTATTTCTTGGAATAAAATAACACATGCGACCAACTAGTTCTTAGTATTCTCGCGAAAAGAAAGGCGACTGGGCAGTTCCAACCCACCACTTCCCGTCGACGAGTTCGTGTGTCCCCTCCTCCTTCGTCGGCTGTGCTGGCGAAGGGAGGAGAAGGGGATCCCGGATTTGTGTCGGTGTTGTAGGTCGTAGGGTCAAGTTAGTTTTCTTGTGGCGGCGTTGTGGTGGTGACGACGCTGTCGAGAAGAATAAGTCTCCCTGGCTCCTTCTCCACCTCATCGGAGGCGGTTTCGTCGTCGATGTTGAGGAGCGCAGGGCTTGGACTGGTTGCCTATCTTCGGATCGATGGATCTAGGTCTAGGAGTGATTTGTGGTCCCTGTGGATCGAGTGCAGATTTTCTTCAACGGCGAGGATGATGACGGTTCTACCGGTGCGCTGGTCCTTCGAGACCGTAGATCGAAGTCTTCCCGTCTGCCTGATGGTCCGCTCTTTACAAGGTCAGGCCGGCTTCGTGTGCGAGGCGGCGGCGGCGGTGCGACTGCGTCTCATTCTGGTAACTGAAGTTGTGTGGTTCTCTATGGACTGGAATGTAATTTGTGGTTTCTATGGGTCCTTTGTACTGCTGTTTGATACTTTATAATTGATCTGGGGACCTTTTTGCAAAAAAACTAGTTCTTAGTACCTATGGCTTATATTCGAGAACCAACCACTAGTTTGATGGTTAGGAAGGTGATGGCATCCCCAGTCCACCAGGGACACGCCTTGATGTCTCATTAATATACTATATCACTAAGCTCCCTAGGATTGGAGGCATCACAATTGGGATTTGGCCACTCAATTTTGACTGGGTCAACAATTCCTCAAAACTCTCTCATTTAACATTTTTATACAATATACCATGCTTTCTAATTTTTAA